ACACGAAGTTTAACCTCATAGAACTTATACAAAAGTAAGAAGTTGATTTTCTTATTCATTAACCAATATTTACTGGACGGATTACAAAGTTGCTAAAAGTCAATAATAATAATAATAATAATAATAATAATAATAATAATAAAAACAGTAACAAAAATAGTAACATTAGGTTAATAAGTAACATATGAACTGTAGACTATAGACTCAATCTGTGCTTAGGCCATTAAGAATGTGCTTTTATCCAAAGATATGTAAAGTTGATTATCTAAAGTATTTCATACGTTTGTTAGTTTTATTCAGTGTAGGAATTGTACTAAATATTAGAACAGACATCCATGACCTGATGATCTTCAGAACATTGGTGTGATTCTCAGAATTCTGGAATAATTCTGCATGGTAGTTGTACAACCAATGCATCTGGAATAGGCTAGGTTGTTAGAATAAATAGCCAGAATGAATCTGAATTCTTAATTGGAAGCAGTATAATTAGGCATACATGCTAAGTGGCTTGCTTAATTAACTAACCCTATTCACCAAGAACAATGGTATGCATAATTATCTGTTATTACAACAACCTTGTGAAGAGGCCAATGTGATGTCTTCCACTATATCTATATATAGATTCCACTATAATCTAGTTATCTGAACCTGGTTATAATCTAACTATTGGTGTCTGTGTAGTTGGCAGGGGTGTACTCAAACCAGGCAAGATGGCACATCAGTGTCATGATGCAAACCCTGTCTTTTTTGTATGTGCATCAACATACAAAATAGGCAGAACTTCCATTGCAATGCCACATCCTCTTCTCCCCTGATGCCACTGTAACTACTTCTCACATACCCTCTGATTGTCCTTCTGATCTGAGATCGATTGTAAAGTCTTTCAAAGCCTTCTTCTAGTAAAATTAATTTCACAATCCCCTGGGAAAAATATCCCGAATCATAATAGATAGACCCTTTAGGCATTATAAATTATTGGTCCCTGTGGATAACTTTTCTATGAAGTTGCTTATACAAAACTGAGGAGTCAGATCTCCTTGTTGATATTCTGATAAACTGATTATTAATAAATAGGAAAACAATTTATTTTACTGAGCACCCCCCTCTTCTTTACAGTACTACTTCTGTTAAATCTCAATGTTTGTTGAAATAGGAACAGAGATCATTTAAAACCAGTGATAAAATATGGAAATCAATTCAAAATAAAGAAGAAACTATAAAAAAGACATACTGGAGTCAACAAGCATCACTGCTTACAAAGAGATTTTATATTTCATGCATAGAAAGCATTAAGAAACTTTGATTTTGTTTATTATATGTACTCTAAGAACTTAATTAAACATGCTGAGTACTCTAAAGGGAAAATACCAATGTCAGTTAAGATCACAGAATAAAGCATGTCACATATTAAATTCTTTATTCCTTATATCATCCTGATCAATTAAGATTCATCTTAGAGACACATACTGTTTTGCCTAGGGGATCACTAGATGCCTCTTGGATGCTGAGTCATAACCCTCTGTAGCCATAGGCTAGAAAACTAAAGTAACTCCAACTGCTGTTTGTGTACAATTATACATCAGTGTCTGAGATCAATATGACAACTAAATTTTTAGATTCTGTATTCAACAGTAAAAAGATTTTTGTATCTCTCTGATGAACTATAATTTAATTGGCTATCTATTTTTGTTTGCAAACTAATAATTTCCATGCTTGTACTTGGACAAATTTTGTTTCAGCCTGGCTTGATCTGCAAAACTCAAAGGTATCTGAAATGATAATAATGTTAACTATATTTTTATAATAATTGTTGCTAGGTTTTCTTGGCAATACAGAGCCTGAAAACACTGAACACTGCAATTTATTTATGATGTTCTTTTATATAAAACAATATACTCTTTTGAGTACATTATTTTAATTTATTGGAAGTAGACTTTATTGCAAAGATGGATTCCAAAACACATGTATCCACTTATCAAAAAGCTGACCCTTTCCAAAACATATACACCCACTCCTCATTTAGCGACCTCAGTTAGCGATCATTCACAAATATGACAGTAATATAAAATTCAGTTTCTGGCCATTGTGTGCGTTTATGACCAAATTTTGTGCACCAGACAACAATGCATGACGGGATGAAAGTAACGCTGACATAGCGGTATGAGAGAACTTTATCTGAATAAGATAGCAACCAGTGATCTTTGCAGTGTCTCCCTCTCTCTGTGTGTCACATGTTCACTTACTGATCATTTCACTTAATGACCTGGTCACTGGAATGGAATGACCAGATCATTGGTCACTAAATGAGGAGTGGGTGTACTTCCACATATGTAAGAAGAAGCCTTCCCTTCCAAATACATATGACACATGAATATATAACACCCGCACACATCCACAGATGGTCCTGTCTTCTACATTTTCTCTGGATGGGAGAGACCTCTATCAGTGAATACCCTCAGCCTTAGAGTATATGATAAAGCTCTCTACCTTACATGACAGAGGAACTAATTGTGCAGACAAGAAAACAATACCATGACCTTCTATATGTCCACATGGGACATGGCCTAAGGAATTTTTCCCCCTTAATCACTGTGCTGATTAGAACCAACCCATCTGGTATATTTTATTACAGGAAAAATTCTTGAGGGTCCCATATTTTTGCAAGGCTAAGGTGGCCAAAGCCAGAAGACAAATGGCTCCAATATTGTGGAATGGCCTCCATTTGAATATCAGGCTTGGCCCCAATGTAATGGCCTTTGGTGATTGATGTTATCTTGCTGGGTTTGGTTGTGGGGTGGTTTTCTTTTATGATATTATTTATGACATATATAATGATATTTATTATAATTTAATTGTGTTTTGATGTTATGAGGTTGCTTGTTTATACCATTGATATTTTAATTTTCGGATGCTGATGTTTTAGACTTATCATGGATGTTTTATTATTTTTATTATTTATACATTATATCAAGGATTTTTAATCAGCTGTCATGAGTTTGTATGGAATTGGCAGTATATAAATTGAAATACATACATACATACATACATACATACAACCCTAGTATTTTTGGTGACTAAAATACTGTGTGGGTATGTAAGAAATGTGTTACATTCTTTAGCTCTTGTAGTATAACCAAAATGTAAAATGACATATGTTTACTACATTTTCTAAAATGCAGCAACCTTGATTCACCAGGGCACCTGCATCAGAACAATGTACAGTAATATATGCACTGATGTAGTCAACATATTTACCATACACTTTTAGTAATCATTATTATATTGCCCAGTAGCTTCTGTAAAGGCAGTAACTTTACTTGCTGCCTTTATTCAAGAAAGCGGAGAAAAGAATAATTCTCTCACCTCTTTTTGTTCCGTCCTCCCAACCCTGCTCTGAGGGAACCTCCATCCATTTGAAGATCAGTGTTCTGTTTTAGCAGTAGGAAATAGTTAATTATGCCTCCATATTCTTTTCGCCACCCTCTGAATCACTGCTACAGATCCTAGATAACACCTGTTACCTTCAATCATGGCTTTTGAAAGAGGCTTAGAGGAAAAAAGTGTTCTAGGATAGGTTGTAGAGCGTTTCTTGTAAAAAAAAAAATATTCCATGCAAAACTAAACATGAAAGTAATTGTATAGTTGCTTTTTAAACAGTAAACTGCAAATTCGGATGG